TATTGCTCCCGGGAAACACCCTTCAGGAATTTCAAACTGTTCCCCTTAGCGATGGGATCTTCGTGGATGGATTATTAGTAAGAATTACATTGCGCGATTTCCCCAGTCAGGCAATAAAATTGTACTCATCTAGGTATTTTTCAGTCGCTCTCATGGAGATGAAGAGCAACGATTAGACGTCTAGAGTGGATGATATAGATATCCCATACACTTACCGACCAGCGATTATATATATATATATATATCAATGCAAACGTAGATCATGATTGAATACTACATTCTTAAATCAGCGTTTCGACTGAGAAAGGCTCCGGCAAACACTATTGCGCGCAATTGATATCGGCTGAAGGTGAAGTAAAAAGGAGTTAGGTGCATCCTAGAAGGGACTTTCCAACTTGCAACCCGTTGGGCCTTTCAGTAAGATGAAAGTAACTAGCAAAGCGATGAAATCCCAACGACCAATGATGCACAATCAGAGCAAACATCGACCACCAATGTGAACGTGAAAATGAAAGACTTTAGAATAGATAGACTTGCATAAAACCTTTGGTGGTTAGGCAGATATCAGACGCGGGAACATACCTAAGGATTCAACAACCTTATCTACTGGAGGGTTAAGTGATGGAACCAGAAGCGACTTGATCGATTCGAACTTCTGTCTGTAGCTTGCGATTGCATCCTGCCACTTCGGATCGTTCCAGTTGACGAACTCGTGGTGAACGGCTCGGAGCCGCGTTAACAGCTGGTCCAGAAACTGAGTTGGGAAGAGTTCCCCAGCTCCTACCGATTTCGACACGATAGACCACACGAGACGCACAGCATGCGCTTGAAGCAGTGCGCCGCAAACCGCAAGAGGATGTGTATGGGTCAGACGGGTGACATCAATAACGAGTTTCTTCAAAAATAAAAAAATTACTACAAATGAAACACATTATCTGGCTGAAAAAATGAAACACATGCTCGATGAGTACAAGGACTGTCTTCACCAATGAATACGCTAGCCAATAATACTTGCATGGTAAACTTGTCCATCCCCAAACCATCTTATTGATTAGTTTCCCCAATCGTATTAATCACGAACACAGTGATGCCATGAAAGAAGTCTTTGAGCACCAGTGTGGTGTGGGGATCGAGTATTGAACATAGTGATCGTCACAACGACATAGACTCAGTTGTACAAGGTGATTGACGTGCACCAGCTTCTGCAGACTGCAGTTCTTGTTTGTGTTATTTATTCACACTGACGCCGAATTTCATGTCCATATTTAAGGAAACGTCTTTTGTTAGCTAGAAACTCCTGGAAGGCTATAGAGTTGGATGCAGACAACTGGACCTGTCCTCAGAATCCGATAAAGCTGTTGGAAGTGAGGAATGACAACAAATCCAGGAAAACATGGACTGAGAAAACCTTGTCTTACCCCCCTGGACAGAGCTGACACGATCAACGGCTTCGGGTGGGGGCACTGACTGGAACTCTATATGTTATTTTAATCCCTAACGAGTTGCAGTGCTTTACTAACACGAGAGGACCAAACGCAGACCACTTGGACCGCGGGCACTTTGGGAGCACGACACTGGTAAAACGTGGAAACATCAGTAGCTCGTGTGCACGTATTGACTGCTGACCAGGTGACCATTGATCTGTTTGCCGAGATTGGAAGTTGGCTTGCAAACGGGGAAACATTATCAGTGCGCGGTTGGATGACGTCTCCCCAACTGGTGACGAGACGTTTGCGACGCTGCGATCAACAGCCATTTGAACATCAACCGAGACTATGACATTTTCTTGTAACATTTGACCATGTTCGGTAAAGCAATATGAACAACTCATCCAGACAGAACTCACTGCTGAATGATTCGAATATCCGAATTATGGAAGACTCCTCATGTTTATTGGAGCTGTTGAAACAATACTGTTTTATGCGTGACTGCAAATCGAAACCGTACCGTACAACTCGCTAGAGTGGACCACTCTGTGATCACATGTGTAGCAAACGGGTAACTTGAATGTGGATTTTGGTGCAGCCATATTCACTCATAATCAAACACTACCAACATCGTCATCATAGACAGTCAGGGTGGTTCTTCTATCACTTGACTCTCGGGAACTTGTTATCTAGCACTTTTACAATCGACCAACTGCAGGCCCTGAAGAGGATACTATGCAGACCCTTGGAGATATCACCTTCTACAAGATCCACTTGGGGCATACATAAATTGACTACGGAAAGGGGCCACTCAAACGGAGTGGAAGTACTCTATCCAGAATTCTAGATAGTATTGGAGACCTTACACAGGGGCGCCAAAATTTAAATAGCTTCTGATTACATTATCTAGCTTAGCGAACAAACTAGCCGTCACCTCAGAAATCGATTCCTCGATATCCAGGCATTTCTCAGTCGTGGGATGAATAAGCGAACTTATTTCCAATAGTTGCCGACTTGAATATCGCCTCATATCAGATAAGCACTTCCGAAGTCATTTTGACTGCAAGATTGAAAAAGGGGCTTATGATCTCACGCGCGCCATTTAGGGCTGACTTTCAGGGCGCGCCAATATACTGCGGGGTATAATTCGATACGTGAAACCGCAGCTATTGCAACCAGCGCCATATTTGAACACCGGTACTTATTTCGAGTCCTCATTACGCTTGATAGTAATTCAGCATTCGGATTATTCTAGAGATTGATCAGAGTTGGGATTCTGACAATCTGTTCACCTCCATACGGACACTGAACTTATATGGGTAGGCTGGTACAGGAGACTGTTTTATGTCACCTCGCCACAAACATAAGGATATGATCAACTGGAATCCAAGAATGTGCCGGGAAAAGAGAAGAAGTCACAGTATGAACATAAACTCGGGATTAGTTCCATGCTCCCGGGCAGAGGACGTTCCAGATCAACCGGATGCATCAAATGAGCCTTGGTCATTGTTAGATACCAATCCAAAAATTTAGATCTCCGACCAGAATTGCAGTATATGGTGAAAGGATGTTCCGAATCACGTTGTCTGCACTCGTTAACATCATCCTGGATCGCGTGCAACTTACAAGTAGCCAGATCACGTGCTAATCCGTGGTTCAATCTACTCAACCTACAGGCATTTTCAGGCTGCGGTTTAGAGTATTGCTGGAAACGTTGTCAGTTTGCCTTGATTTGCAGCTTTACTGATATGGCCGGATGCGTCAGGGCTTTCCGGATCAATGTAGGTGGAATTTCTTCTATGAATCGGAAATGGAAGTCGGTCAGACGACGTAGGTGGGATACTGGATGTGGGCCTCATCTAAACGAAAAACATGGACAACTAGGATGGAGAGAGCTTCAGTAAGAGCTACCTGCCGACCCAGATGCACCCGGTTTCTTATACTGGAAACGCACAACCTAAGTGGTTTACACTGGCAAAGGAAAACAAAACAAAAAGCTTACAAACAGCGACGACAACAGCGGACAGGGATAAAGCGCGGGTTCTGGGGAGTGACAGATTACGAGCATTCTCTAAACAAGTGTCTAGTTTACAGTTCTTTGACAAGTAGTGTCGGTGCAAACAGGAAGTAATAACATTGTTTGGGACCATCATCTTGAGGGATGAGGTACCATCCAACAGACTACAAGACTGCATTGTTAATAGCCATACACCAATAATTTAGCCGTGGGACTTTCCCAGTCAACTCGTCCCGAGTCTTGTTGCGCAACACCTACCTCAAGGTTCCAGTAATATGCTAGACATTGTTGATCAAATCAAACAGACCACAACTATGTATGCGACGTCGACCCTGACGTCGATAACGTGACTTCATCATCATTATCATCATCATCGACAACATGACATCAGTGTTCAACACCGATGCTTCACTGCCGTACAACCATGACTTATTTGAAAGCCTTATTGTAAAGAAAAAAATAAAGGGGGATGGGGGAGGGACTTAGTGCTAGCTTAACACAATCATTCCGAGGTGCCTACACCTCCACACATTCACACTCAGGCAATCTGGATAGAAACTGACAACAAGAACGCCCGTACTGTAGCTTGATACACACGTCCGTTCAGATTCAGGGACAAATCATTCTGACGCCATAGGTGTCTCAAGTTAGCAAACGCGGCCCGAGCCTTGCAGATTCGTGCATTCACCTCATCTGTCACACTACAGTCAGAACTAATACAACTTCCAACATACGCAAAACGCTCCACAACTTCCAGTGCCTCTCCCTGGATCGTAAGTGGCGTGTTCAGTGACTGCACGTCCACAAGCATAACCTTACACTTTGTGGGTGCAAAGAAGAGACTGGACCTTACCGTGGTGTGACGGTACTTGGGAGTGTCCCCGTAACACTCACAGAGTCTGTCACACCAGGTTGGTCAATGGTTAGAGGTCTGACGAACACAGTCTCCTGGCCCTCCAGGTTGGAGGTTGGAACATGCGGCGACTTGTTCCATAGAAATGGTAATGCATTTGCATTTCCCGCCAAACACCGCCGCCTTTCGGTTAGGCTTTTGAGCCAAAGGCTTTGGTTGAGGACCCTAATCGTCCTCCTGTCTAGGTGTGGGCGCCCTGGAAGTATCCCAGCCCACGTACAACCATGAATTACACATACACAAATAAACTCATAACGTGACTTGCGGAAACCAACCAATCAAGTTCCGCTTAACATTGTCTCCAATCTTTATTTATATAGCTCGCACCTTTTACGTGCACGACCGGACAGGAAAAAATGTTAGTACATTGCAACTGTTTTTCATAAGCTCTATTGAAATCTACACCACAACATCATGTTTAACACTGCTGCTTCGCTGCTGTAGAATCATGATTTATTTGAAATACTTATTGTAGAGAAAAGAATAAAACTGGACAGGGAAGGGACTTAGCGCTAGCCTACCACAATCCTTTCGAGGAACATGAACCTTCAGACACTCATTGAGGCAATCTGGATAGAAAATAACACGGAATGGATCAAGGGAACATAACTTCCTAACCTCTTATTCCAATTTCTAGCTGGGATCTCATTCTTTAAGTTACGTTGATCTATGCTGAAAAGCCGCGAAGCACCGTAAAGCCATTTTATCTCTATTACGAATCATGAGTAGTGCGTTTTCTAATCCCGCTTTAAATTTAGTCTCAGTTTCTCAACTCTGAGGCTTGATTGCCTGTCGTGATGCTTCCACTTCTGTTGTTATAACACTCACCTGTAAGTGATAGGTCACCAATACGAGTCCCGTATCTAAGGTCTCTGTCTTTTCGCCTGCATCATGGGTGCCTGGGTCCATTTTTAAAAACTTCCCAATTCCCGCCACTCTAACATCCATTCAGAACTAATATTTCTTGGGTATTAAGCCACTATCAGAATCGGAACAATGTGTAAGTCATACAGATGACTCCTTAGTGATGCTGGGGGCGAGATGGTCCAAGTGGTCAGAGCGCGAATTTACTGACCGAAACGTCCGTCGTTCGAACCCGACCTCTGCCTCTCGACTTCCCCTGTCTAGGCTTGGGCAACCTGGCAGTAGTCCAGTCTTCGTGCAACCTTCGGGTGGCATAGCAGTTAGGCACCGTAAGGGTACTACAGCTGGGCGGTTTTAGTGATGCTGTCAAGCAAAGCCCCTCGATCCATTGGACAGAAGTGTGGAACTCGAGTGTACATGGCTTATATACGCAGAAACCCCACACACACACTACTAAGTCTAGAAGTAGCTCGGGGGAAAGTCAATTGAAAGTGTCTGAAAGTTGAATCTCACTCATTAATCAAGTCAGTAATCTTCCCAAGTGATGTAGATTCCGTGCTCGAAGGATGAATGGGACAGTATCCTGCCTAGATGCACGTTAATCACGTCGCCGAACAGTCGCTTATGACCGAACGGTTAGATCTCCAAATTATTAGCTGGGGGGACGCGGGTTTGAGTTTCGTGAGGTGCGCACTGCTGACGATACAAAGACCTCACCATTGGCTGGCTCCAACTGTTTGTGACATGTTAAACTTAGACAATTAAAGTTGCAATTTGTTCTCATTTATGGTATGGGGATATCAATTGAACAAACTGACGGCAGTCAAATGTCAGTATTTCCGAGCTAACGTTGTTGACTATGACGATAATGGTCCTCCCAGCCCGTGTACAAACATTATTGGTTGTATGGTAGTAAAGCACCAATGGTCAACACTGTTCTCGCTACCGATGCTAACAATGGTTCCGACGTTGATGAAGTTTCGATTGCCAAATTGACGGCCTCGTGGTTATACCGCCAACAGAGATATAAAAATTCTGATAGCGGCAGCGATAAAGTGACTTGGCACAGGTGGCGACTGATATAACCTTTGAATCCAACCACCATCGTTGTGAAAAAAGTACTTATGTATGCAAAGTTCGGCAGTGGACTGTGGAACAAAAGCTCAGTGACATACCAGTATATACCGGTACTTCATGAAACAGTCTCAATCAAACAACATAAAACATGCTATGGTATCGCCGGCACACCTCATACCAGCTCAGGAACCACAAGAATATCAGTATCTGGAATAGAGATATTGCTAGCTTTCTGCACATAACAGCGGTTCACTAGGAGGTTCAAGCGTTTTTTTCAATGCACTCGTGTCTTGGAGCTCAGCATCTTCGACCAGTGTTACTTATCAATGCTACTTACGTCAAACTCAATTTCGGACACTTTCAAGCCATACAAAGCCAAGGGTGAAACGCGCATCGCTCCGCCGTTCCCATAAGAACCTGATCCTTTAAACAATGTCGCGGCGTACGAGAAAGGATTTTCATAATTAGTCCGAGCATTCTCACGGAAGACCGAGGGTACGGTTCCACCGTAGTATCGATGAGATCCATCCTTGAAGTAATCTTCAGCATACCTATTGTAGTCAGTGGAATCGGTGCAAAATGAAACTTACTCGCGGGCAAGATGGCTTGGATCCAACTTATTCGTACAACGTAAGGATCGTAAAGTCGCTAAACCCATTTGTGTGTCATCGGTGTAAATAAGCTGAGAACGATCAGCTAGATATAGCAGTAAAATAAATCCCGACAAAGCTCACCTCCGGACAGCGTGTCCGTTATCAATTTAAGTGGAACATCGAATTTCACAACAGGCCGATCTTCATAAATGTAGCCATAACAATCTCCTATTAAACCGCCCGAAATGACACCGCGAACAAAATTACGCACATCCATTGCTGTGCACTCTAAAATGAGAGGCATTCAATATGAAGTAGTAAAATACACCCATTTTAAATCAGTACTCGATCACGGGTTGCCACCTAGACGATGACCGAAGACGAATGGTTCAGTGAGGTAACAGATTCCGTAGCCTATACATTCGTTCACTAAACTTTGACTGCACCAGAAAAAGCGAATGCGAAGAACCAGATCCGACGCAAACCCCAGGGACGAAGGCAGGTGAGCTAACTCGTAGAGGCCGCCAGTAAGTATAAACACTCAATGGTCGCATCAAGCATTGTGCGCGTGACCTGCAAGTTTGATTGACTGACAGTGTCTGTCACAGCTGCCAGCAGCCAGCAATGGTTGCGTTTCTCGACTTGAAAGCTACCTTTAACTCTGTGGACCGTCCGTCAGTATGGAGCAAAGGTGTCCCCCATAAATTCTTGACAGTGTCTGCACAGCTGCCAGCAGCCAGCAATGGTTGCGTTTCTCGACTTGAAAGCTACCTTTAACTCTGTGGACCGTCAGGCAGTATGGAGCAAAGGTGTCCCCCATAAATTCTTGACCCTCCTTAAGGCGCTGTAGGCCAGCTCCCGCAGACGTGTGAAGGCCGACGGGAAGCTCTCGCTTGAGGTAATCATATAAAGTGGTGTCAGGCAAGGCTGCCTAATTTCAGCTTCCCCCTTCAACTTCGTCACTGATGCGTATTTGAGGACTCACTATCAGCCTCTAATGATTGTGTGGTCGAAGTGCTCCCGGGAAGTCCGCTCACAGACATCAAGTACGTAGGCGACACATCTCTTCTTAAATCTGACCCCGTGGTAATATAAATAATATTCAATAATCTAGATAATTCCGCCTCACGATTGGGCATGCAATTCACACCTACAAAATGCTAACACAAGACTGGGTGGACTCAAGCTCTAGCCCTATGCTTGTGGATGAGCCGAATGAGGTAGTAGACAAATTTCTGTAGCTGTGAAGCTGTGTCATTCTCGGTGGTTTCGCATAACGTTGTAGGAGGTGCTCAAGTGAACGCTTTGGCAAATGAGTTTGTCCGGGCGCTGCGTGTATGCGGTTGCAAATAGAATTGATTGGTTTATCCAGCAGATTTAGCTTTTCGATCCAATCTAGCCCCAGGCTTCACATGTGGCTTACCGATTCGTCTCCACGTTCGATCACTGAGTAGCGTGATATCGGAGCCAGTATCAAGTTGCAAACGAACTGGGATGTCGTTGGTACGAACCATCGGGAACTTCCTTCGGCAAGTAAAATCAACTTTGAATGTTGCCGCCACCGAGTTGGACCGCGATTTATGGGCTTCACGGTGGTGTGCGGATGGCTGCAGTCTTTGAGATCGATACAAATCTTCTTTGTGGCCGCGACGAATGCACTTGGAATATTTGTGACGCCTGAACTGGCAATAACGAGCAAAATGCCACTCACCACAATGCCAGCAACTTGTGGGAGGCTTACTTTGTCTTCGATCGGACGTCTTGTTGGATTTCCTGGGCAAGATGGAGTTGATTGCCTGTACGCAGCAGCTTGAGGTCACAGGTGACTGATCGATCAAAGCCGTGTCGTGCTTTAGGTTGATGAGGCGTTGGCATTCAGTGGTGAGGCTCTGAAACGTCATTTCGGCATCCTGTTCAATTCTGTTAAGCAGCCTGGTTCTGATGTCAGCATCCTGGGGTGAGTGGAGACCGGATACAAAAAATGAGGCACTTAAACTGATTCTCCGTCACTGAGCTGAGCTTGAAGCGCTCACATTCTCGATTGACAACACCGGCAAACATGAGGAAATCAGCATCAACTTTCTTGACCAACTTTAGGCATTGGTAGCGGATAATGAACAGTGATGTTTGATCGCCAAATATCTGGGACAGTGTTCTGACCGTTTCATCAAATCTGAGGTCGCGGGGCAGCTTGTTGAGAATGGAATTTGTAGACCGTTCATGCTGCTGCAATAGTTCTCGGCGCTGATCAAATCCGATTGACATCGTGTGTTTCCGTTCGCCAAATGTAGTAACGGTATTTTCCTCATCTTAGTTCTCGGTCTGAGCCTCCCAAGCTAGCGTTCACGTCAAAACAACCACCAAAGGTTCACAAGGTCTATTAATGCTCAAAACGGAGTCAAGAACAGTTGTACAGCGCTCCGTATATATAGCGTAAGCGGTTATAACTTTATAAAATTTCTGACGCATTCTGGATGCGGCATTGGCAACCGGCACCTGGCCAACACTGGGTCATGATTGGCTGTTGGGTCCAGATTGTTGACCAATCAGGTCTCGTCTTGATGCCGGACCGGCAAGCGTCCCGAAATCTGGGCCAATCTCGAGCGGGCCAGGCTTATCGGCCGTAGCAGCGCCTAAAGACGTGCGGTATAGCGCCATCTGTGTGGATTCCTGCATAAAACTTATGCCTATTGACAACTCGTTCGCTGAACAAGTGGATTTTCACCGATTCATGGACTGGCGCAAAATCAAGGGTTTTGCCACAGCTTCCAGAATGTCTTAAAGACAAAAACAAAAAAAGAAAAAGCTCCACTCTTCAAGCTGTCAGAGGTAGGCAGTAAACCTGCCTCACATTGAAAATGGCATCTAAAAGTGCTTTGAACTGTGCTCAAAATGAACAACCGTTGGACGAAGGCCATTCCGCGCATCAGTTGCCCGAAACGAGAAATATAATCGAAGACAAGTGTGCACTGTGAGTCCGAAAATTACCCTATCGTCACGAAGAGACTGAACTTTACCGTGGTGTGGCGGTTTGTGTACCTCCGAGACCCATTGGGCTATACTGGGGTGTGTCCGCGCGACACGCACAGAGTCTCTCATACCAGATTGGTCAATGGTTGGAGGTCTGACGAACACAGTCTCCTGGCCCTCCAGGTTGGGGGTTGGAACACGTGGCGACTTGTTCCGCAGAAAAGGTATTGCATTTGCGCTTCCCCGCCAAACACCGCCGCCTTACGGTTAGGCTTTTGAGTCAAAAGCCTTGGTTGAGGACCCTAATCGTCTTCCTGTTTAGGTGTAGGCGCCCTGGTAGCATCTAAGCCCTCGTACAACCATGGCTTACGCAACCAACAATACTCTCATGCCACATTGGCCGTCGCGTGGTGACATCAGCCGGGTCGCCTTACTTGCTGCATACAGCAGGGCGGGTAAGCGAAAACATGCTACTGCTGACGCCTCCCTTCTTTCAATTTCACGTTTTCCGTCTTCCACCCTCCCGCGCCCAAAGTTGAATACTTTATCCGCAGGTCATAGCTCTAGGACTGACCGTTTTGCTCGCCCTGCATCACACCCAGCTGCAGCTTCTGCACGTCCGAGTTCAGTTACAACCCTAAACACTTCGAAGTCTGTTTTCAAACCCCGAAAGCCTGTCTACTTAGCCACCTTCAATGTTCGCACACTGAAGCAAGCAGGTCAACAGGTGGCTCTTGCGCGTACGCTGGATTCCCTCTGTATTGATGTATGTTGTCTGTCAGAAACAAGGACGCAGGACGCAAGTACTGTAATCGAACTGACTGCCCCCTCGCTCTCTTCCAGGTTCCGACTGCGCACCTCTGGTGATGCAGAGGCCGCTGCAGCTGGATATGCTGGGGTGGGTATTGTATTGAGCGAACGAGCGGAAGCGTCTCTGCTTGATTGGATACCCGTAGACAGTCGCCTCTGTGCGGTTCGTTTGGCAACATCGGTGAGAGAATCTAGAGGAAGTGAGGTTCATCGCAACTTGTTCATTGTTTCTGCTTACGCCAAAACCGACAGTAGCTCTGAATCTGCCAAGGAGAGTTTCTGTGACGCTCTAGGTGCCCTTCTACAACAGGCTAGAAGCTCAGATATCGTTGTGGTTGCTAACAGTAAGAACGCCCATGTAGGTGGTCTAAACGCTGCTGAGGCCCGATTGGGTGGTCGTCTTGGTTTGGACACTAGACGCACGGAAAACGGGGACCGGTTACTTCAGATGTGTGCCGATCACAGGCTGTTCCTTTGCAGTATGAATTTCCGGAACATCGGCCATAGCTGGACAACGTGGTACCCACCATCAAACAAGCGCCGAATCCAAATAGGCCACATCGCCGTCAGTTATCGGTGGCGAGGGTCGATCACCGCCTGCCGCCCCTTCCGGAACACCAGCGTGGACTCCGTCCATGCACTTGTACGCTGCTGCATTTCATTGCGCTTTTCAGGTGTACGCGAATCGCGCACACCTCGCTTAGCCATTGAGAAGCTACTTGCCCCAGAAATCAAACGAAGCTACCAGTAGCAGCTCCTCGAATGCCTGCCGGAAGGTAAGGTGTCGGATATAAACGGCCACTGGGAAAAATATCCAAAGCGTTACTCAAAGCAGGAGCGTCTGTTTGCGGTATAACCCAGCCAACATCATCCAAGCATTGGATATCCGATAGAACCGTGTCTTTTCTGGAGACTTGGCGACAGATCCCACCCCACCTGGTCGCCACCACAACTCCATCGACGCCAGGTGAAACTGAGTATCCGCGCAGACCGAGGAGCTTGGTGGACCCGAAAGGTCGAAGAAATGGAAGATGCGAAGAATGTTGGAAACGTGCGCAAATTGCTCCACTTGATTCGTTCGTCTGGTCCTCGGAAACCTCTTGTCAATGAAACAATCACGAACCAAACTGGCTCCCTGATATGCTGCAAAACAGAAGGTTTGGACCGCGAACAGCAATTCATCTAGCAACCTGCTGCCCCCAATCCAGAAACCCGGCCTTCAACAGAAAGGTGGACCGTAAATAAGGAGCCGCCTTCAGTCTCAGAAGTGTCCAAATGAATTTCTCTACTCAAGCGTCATCGTGCTGCTGGTCCTGACGACCTACCAACTGCACTTTTCAAGGATGGCGGTGGACTCCTCAGCCGGTTCCTGTCTAGCCAATTTGGGTTTATCTGGGAGAAGGAGACCGTCCCAGACAACTGGAGTGAATCGATAGTGCCCATTTTCAAAAAGGGTACTCACAGTGAATGTAGCAACCACAGAGGCGTTAGCTTGACGCCTGTTGTGACAGGGCTTCTGGCGTCATTGATTATTTGTCGTCTCATGGCGGCACGCGAAGTCTTGCCTCGTGAAAATCAGGCCGGATTTCGACCGGGTAGGGGCTGCGTTGACCACATCTTCACACTCCGTCAGGTGTTAGAGCAACGCCACATGTACAGACGACCCACAATCCTGGTATTCCTTGACTTCAAGGGTGCGTTCGATTCTGTTGATCGATCAGTTCTGTTAACTCCATTAGCAACAACTAACTAAGAGCAGGGTATGCCCCAGAAGTTTGTAAACATAATCCAATCTCTATATTCACATACTTTTGGGCGGGTGAGGGTGTACGGTGAGCCCTCCAAAAGCTTTCCTACAAAAAGTGGTGTCAGACAAGGATGTCCACTCTCCCCATTCTTGTTCAACCTCGTCATCGATGAAATAATGAGGCGAACACTGGACGGTTTTCAAAACCCCGGTGTTCAAATTGTTGCTGGCGAGAGCCTTGTCGATCTGGCGTACGCAGATGACATCGCCCTCATCTATGAAGACTCCAGCGAAGCACAAGCCCTGTTGAATAAACTGACCGCCATCATACCATCATTTGGCATGCGCCTTGCACCTTCAAAGTGCAAAGTCCTGCTTCAGAACGTGCCATCTGCGAACATATCCCTTACAATTCAAGGAGAACCACTGGAGATTGTGGAAAACTTTACATACCTCGGTAGTTGTATTAGCTCTGACGGAAGTGTGTCTGATGAAGTCAGTGCAAGAATCTCAAAGGCTCGAATCACGTTTGCTAATTTGCGTCACTTGTGGCGTCAAAAAGGCATCTCACTGGATCTTAAGGGTCGTGTGTACCAGGCTACAGTAAGGGCTGTGTTGTTGTATGGGTGCGAGACATGGCCTCTTCGGGTAGATGATGTGAGGCGTCTTCAGGTTTTCGACCACCGATGCCTCAGAAGCGTGGCTGGTTGTGGATGGCGTCAGCGTATCAGCAACGAGGCGATTAGAAAACGGGTATTTGGTTGTGCTGCAGGCATCTCAATCCGGGAAAACATCCAGCATCATCGACTACGATGGCTCGGTCATGTGCTACATATGCCGAAACACCGTCTACGGAGACGAGTGTTGTTCTCCGTGTCTCCTTCAGGTTGGCGCAAACCGCGAGGTGGACAGCACATGACTTGGCAGAAAGGCGTGAAAGAGATCACGAAGGGTTTGTGTATTGTTGGTGTTGTACGCCTCCCAGGATTGGGTCCTCGTGACCCCGTCTGTGCTTGGCTGGAGACGTTGCAAGAAATGACGGCCAATCGATGTCAGTTTCTTTCCAGATTGTCTGATTGAGCGGTTGGAGGTGTAGGCCCTTCAGTATGCTTGACATAGTCCAGCACTAAGTTCCCTCCCTCACCCACTCCTTTTCTCTTCTCTTCACATGAGGGCTTTTATTACAACTATATATATATAACTAGACGACAGTGTAGCATCACTGTCAACACTAATGTTGCTGTCTTCGACGATGATGATGATGATGATTATTTGGGTGAATGGTGCAGGTATTTCCCTGAGCTTAGTTATCGGTCTGAAATTCCAAAGCTAGCGCTCTCGTCAAAACAACCACCAGAGGTGCACAACGTATAT